TTCAGAATCTCCAACACAGGCTTCAATAAAGAAATAGAGGGCTTCATCATCACATGAAACAAGTGCCTGTGGTGTCAAAATAGGCATAAATAAATTCTATATCTACAGGAATTCTTAACCTTAAATGACTGTCATTTTTGTCAACAATAGCGTTTTTGTCTATATACCTGAAAACCATAATAGACAGGAATAAAAGTACACAGCAAGATTAATCAGACGTTTTACATGAACGTAAAAGTGTAAATATGCCAGAAACAATCATTTAACTCATTACAGTGAGTTATTTTCCTTAAAAGACAACCTTTGACCACATGTAGCACTTACCTAAATTGATTTGAAACAAAAATAGATCATCATTTTAGGCTCATTGGAGCTTGTAGTTTACCATTTTGCTGTGCTCACTGATAAAAGCTTCATATCAGAATTAGTGCTGGGCTAATACTTTGTTGTGTCTTTCTGACAAAAGTCTTGTTAATATTTAAAATGTCACAAAAAGGGGTCATGATTAAAATTGACCACTGTCCCGAATCATAGGGAGGGCTGGGCGCTCACAAACATTACTAGTAATACCAGGTTCTGTATGCATTTGTCCCATGTCAAGGAGGAGCCTGTATTTCGGTGATTTTCGTTGGTTGCTGGCCTTCATATTTTATTTTCATTTCTGATATTAATTCAATATCAAACAGAAAACAATAAACTTGCGGAAAAGATGGTATAAAGCAAACAAAATATTGTTTTCTGTTTGGTATTAAATTAAAAGTTAAGATCCATTTTGTTACATCTGGTGATCCTTTTATTTGGCAATCGCCAATGACAGTCAGCAGGATTTAAGAACATCCGTTGTTCGACCTGCTAGTCAAATGCGTTTTGTTAAAATATACTTTTTCACTTTTTTGATCTTTTGGAAAATGTTGTTTGTGCTGTATTTAGACCCCTCTACCAAAAAATTTGTTTTGCATGCACACGTATAAAAATTGCGGTTTTTATCCAACGCAATCATAGGTTTGAACGTTGTTTTCAATTTAGACTTGTATATATAAGTTTTGATACTCTAAAAATATTTTTAAAATGCATGTACAGATATAAAAGTAAGGAGATGAGGTATGATTGCCAATGAGTCAACTATCCACCAAAGTTCAAATAAAGTGAACCTACTACTGTGATCATTGGCCTACTACTGTGATCAAATCTCTTTTTACCATCATGTTGCCATGATATAGAGGTGCATGACCAGTTAATTATAAACGATTGTTCGTAGTTTTTACATTTTAATTATACAAATAAGTAGGATTATTTATCCCTGAATGAAAGAAAAATAAATAATTATCGGGTCGCTTGCCAACACGTATAATAAAAAAAGTAAGATATGAAATAACGTATTAAAGGAGCATATTAGCTGTCAAATTCATCTTCTCTGATTTGACTCTAATTCCCATATTTGATTTTTCAATCGTTAATGAAAGTGAAATAGTGAAATAAAATTCTGCTTTTAGCAGCCAGTTTGGTTCAATTTTGTCAAAATAAGATCAGAAACATCGCTGATGAATTATTCACTTGCAAGTGAATAATTCGACCTCATTGAATCCGTATTCATGTGACCTTCAATTTAACCCTTAACTAAAGATGGGTTACGCATGAATTAGGCGTGTTCAGTTATTAAAAGCAAAAGAATATAAACATTGAAAGTGAAACAAGGGTAAATCATTTAATTGACTGATTTGATCCACAAAAACTCATTCTTATGCAGGTAAAAACGATGATTAACATATATTTTTAACCTATAATCTGAAATCAAACAGACCTAGAAAAATCCAATTGCACGAGTTCGCTATCTATTTATATCTATATTTATGTTTTTATCGGGTTATACGACCGTCGGTAGTCTTCGGAGGTCACCTCGATGGTCAATTAGATGGCGTCTAGACTAAAATACACACGAAATTATGATACATATTATCGATCCCATGCATTGTTAATTGTTTATTTTAGACTTTTTATAATTTAGTTATACGTTTTAGTATGTTATAAATCAAATATGAGAAGTAGAGTCAAATCAATGAAGATGAATTTGACAGCTAATGCCCCTTTAAATACTAATGTAGCTGATTCTGCAGTTTATACCTTGTCCGGTTTACTTCCTGTTGAAGCTGAAATCCATATTAAAGCTATCAATCTATTTGGAAACACCTAGAGCTAAATGGATTCAATTGAATGGCGGCTAGCCGAAAGACAACTACAGATAAAGCCCCACAACAGTCACAGTTGGTTTATTGAAATTAAGGAAATATGTTTAAAATATGGAATTACAGACATGTATGATTAGCTGAACAGCCCGTTATCAAATTTTCAATGGAAAAAGTTAGTTAAAACAAAAATGTATGCCTATTGGACCTCAAATATTATTGAAGAATTAAAAGGGTATTCAACACTAAAAATCATAGACCATAAATATTACATTGGATCCGTACATCCTTTAGCAATTTCGGTCAGCGCAAAAATAAAAGATATCAGAAAAATTCCTGTACGTCTTAATATTTCAACTGGGAACTATATCCTTCAAACCCACAAAGCCTCATTTTCAAAGAAATATATCAGTTTAATTTGTAAATTATGTAATAAAGCAGTTGAAACAGTTGAACACTTTATCCTGTTATGTGAAAAATTAGAAGAGCAAGAAAACCACTTATATCAAAAATTTTAAACAATGGAAGTTTGATTCTAGCTAAAGATACATCCCCTCCAGCTTATCTTCTCCAATTAATTATCAACCCCAGTGTATGTAATGTGCGAATCCTAAAATGTCATTTTTACTGTATCCGTGATGAATTTCTGATGTAGAATGATAAATAAACAGACGACAAATTCAAGATTTTTGAACAAATTAAGGAATTATAATATATAATGTGTACTGTTTTTATAAATTCATGATATAGGTATGAGATGCAGACGGGTTTTCATCGCGCCTACAGCCATCCAGGTGCAAAATTGATACACAAATAGATAAATGTTAAGAATAGTTCACGAACAGAGCGTGCAAGAGATTTAAAAGTAGCAGTTAAGTTTCATTTGCAGAAAAATGTACCTTTTAACATAATTTTTAATGTTGTTTAACTTAAAACAGGTTTTGTTATTCGGCTTGTTGATATTGAATCAAATTCCACTATGCTGTTTTCGTTATTCGATTCATGTTTACTGTCGAATAATGATACTAGACTTTCATTTTCACTGTAGGGCGATTCATTTCTATTGTATATGCGATGCATTTTCTCAGAAGGGAATTAATTTTCATTATATAAAGTCTTAATTCAGCCGACTCTCTAACAAAATTTATGAAGTCAGAAGGATTGATTATATATGCATACTTAGTGAGTGAAAGTCTGAGGTAATATATCAATAAATTCCTTAAACATGGTATTTATTGCTAGTATAGTCAATTCTATTTTCTCAAATAATTTGTCCTGATCTATATGTAGGATAAACTTTATTCTTTCCTATGACACGTCATCATTAAATACATATATCTTGGACAGTTAAGCCAATCCACGTCCTCGGAAAAGCAAAGTTTCTGTTTCGGTCTAAATCTACATCGCATACTAATAAATTAAACGTCATTAGAGCTAATTTCCTAATGCTTGTAGTTAAACGGTGTGGTTGGCCTTGACTGTGTAAATGTTGCCTAAGCATTGTAATTAAGATTGAGCAAACGTTTATACAAACAAAGCAAGCAAGCCAACCGAACCTTTAAACTACAAGCGTTAGGAAAATAGCTCTAATGGATGCATTTGAGATAACAAAGAGCATTCACAAAACGATCTTCATTTCACGATTGAATGAGTGGAAACGTTTTCATCTTGCACAAACAATTGACGCTTGGATGACTGGATAATTGATATTTATCATGTATAAATCTTGTACAGTAAAGAAAGTTCGAGAAACAGTCGAGTCACCTTAAATATGCTTGAATTTCTTATAAGTCGGTTTTACAAATAAGCCAATACGCAATTGCGAGAATACAAAGAAATATTGAAAACAGTTTATTGTTACATGTTTAAATGGTTCTATACCACGGGGTATAACCGCCGTACAGTTGATTCCGGACGTTAATCGCTACATCGCGAAGCAATGTTGGTAGATATACCGTTCTTATATTTACACCAAAGACTAATTGACTAACTGTTCAGTTACGTATTCAATGTTTATGAAAACAAAGTTTACTGCTCCTGGCAGCATTGTATATCATTTATATTACATGAACACCATGTGACTATTTTAAATAGTAAGCATCTACGACTAGCTTGCATTTCAAATTGTAAATATCATCAATATTAAAGTCATTTAAAAACTATTTTCAGTTGCTGTAAGTCGAATAATCATATAAAACGACAATGAAAATTCATCGCACTTCCAAAAATTCCACATCAGAAATGATTGCACTTACAGTGATAATTCATCGCATCTATAGTTAAAATGGATCGCATTCAGTAATCAATATTATGAATTCTGCTGCTTAAATAACACTTTTTTGGACTTTTATCCTGTTATTATACATTAAAAAGTTATATTCTAATGAAATTCTGTTAAAACATACATTCAATTCTATTATTTTGTATTTTCAAAAAGTAAACAAACGCAGTTTTTCCCATCATCCTTTATTCTACAATAGACTTACTCGCATACATATATTTAAATGCTAATAAGTATTATATAGGTAGCTTGCATCGGAATGATGGGCACACATGGTCACAGAATCATTTGATTTTGTATTGAAAGAACATTTTAATTTTTTTACTGCCGAAAGATTTTATTGTTTTAATTATATTCGGAAGTGTATTAATCCTCGCAGTGGTGGAAATTATTTTATTTAAACATATCAAGTGATGACAGTTGTATCGTATATTATTGTGTATTGACATTTTCCTCCGTGAGAATGGAGGTGTGCCTTGATTGGCAGAAATATGATTACAGTAGTATTGGTTTCCTTCCCCCTTACTTATATTCCCCTGTTTCGGTAGACAACGATTTATCTTATTTACAAACTGAATTCCTAAATATCAGGTAACCTCAATGCTTCCTATAATATGGCATCTAAGAAGCTAGTAACCACTCGTTCATACTTATATTTGCCATTTTGAGACCGTTAATAACATATTTTACAGAATGTTAATCATGTTAAAATTTCGTTTTCAAACATTCTTTATACGACATAGTCCGGTAAATCCGCCCACATAAGACTTTGAATGTATGTATTTCTGCTTAATTATATACAAATTGTATCAAATTTAATATAAATCGATTCACTGACAACTCAATTTTGAGTAGTTTATCTCATTTCCCCAAAAATATCTGAAACAAATTTTAAAATCAACAAAACAAGTGGGTCATCCGTGTTTTTATCGGAAATGTGGCCACAGACCACAATTAAATTCCCCTATTAGTTCTTTATAACGTTTTGTTTCATTAAAAAAATTGCACCTTGCATTTTTGTCAAATCTTTTGTGTGTATAATGTATAGTACTAGTCCAAAAATATATCCAAAATTCAGAAAGATTGAACCAATGACTCTTACAAATTTAGCCAATACACATCCATACCCCTATGGACAAGTCAAGAGATGTTCCGAAAACTGTAAATATCACCTTTTTGCACCTGGCCTAATCACTCTTTCCATATCAAAATCAGTTAAAATACAACATCCAAAAGATTATTTCACCTCTCTTCTTTTATTTCCACCCAAAAAAAACTAAGAAATGAGTGAGGAAGGGAAAGAAAAAAAATTAAGAAAAAATACACTCTAATTAAAAGGAACTATATTCGTGGACAACGAAAAGCGGGATAATTAATTGTGGTCTTGGGCCTATTAGGGGTCTTAAACTTGACCAATTCTAATAAAACTTGGCATGATTTAAGCTTAGTGTATTATAAAACAGTTTACAAAGTTTCAAAGCCATATGATACCAATTATAAAAAATGTGGCATTTTTTATATCTGAACTTTGGGTGCTGAATTGTGGCGTTGAATTAGAGCAATTTCAACTATCAAATTTGGGCTTCTAAAAACCAAAATATACCAAAACTTACATTTTTTAATGTTTCTATGTATAAGTTATCACCTATTAAAAGCAACAGATAGCATACTTCATGTTTCAGACTTATAAAAAATGGCCAGAAGTAAATTTTATATGAGCCTGTGCCAAAAAATAGAGGTTTTCAAATGAATCGAGGCCTTATATGAAATGTAATATTTTTCACTTACCACAATTTTCTGAAGTTGTTAAGTTATAAAAACACCTTTTACATGTTATAAATGTACTTTTAATGGAAATATAAGTTTCAAATAGCATAACACATGTGAATAAAATGGTCTTCAGCAATGTCAAGCTTAAAAAAACAGGTTGTCAATTTAGGTCGTTCCCCACATTTGCATATTAAAAAGCATATAAATGATATGGTAGATAGAGATATGCTTCTTTTTGCTCAAATCTTTGTTTAGATTTGATAAAACATGGAGCCTGGATGTAACATGACTGTCACTTTCAACTATATATGTAGACAGTATGATTTGATGCAAAGTTATTTACTTTACTTTTTAAAACCGGCATGAAATTTCAGCCTCAAAAGGCCAATATTTTAACCACTAGCTATCAAACAAAAGAAAATAAAGGTAGTCTGTGAAACAGACAAGGTCAAACAACCAGTAATAAGTGCTTTTGATACAGATTCAGTGAAATCTGCTAAAAGGAATTCAACTTGTATGTGCATAGAACCTCATTTTTCACTTGCTTCATACTGACCGTTAGACTAAGACCATTAAAGCAGCACATTTTGCACTCTTATTCTGATTTTATCTACTTTTTTTTGTGTTCAGTGTTCAAAAATGAGTTAAACATCTACATTAGATACCACACACACAAATAGAAAACCAGAAAAATCTGTCAGAGAGAAAGTAAGCATGCTACTTTTGTAAAAATATTGAAACAACTGAAAAAGTTCAATTTTGGGCATGTAGGCTGAAATGTCACTTTTTTACAAAATTTCTATCAAATAAAAGTGGAAATCATTTATTCTCATGTAGTTTGACAAATTAATACCAATAGATCATTCAGGGAAGTTGTCAAAGTACAAATTCAATATTTCCTGAATTCACCTCTTAGGCCACAGACCACAATTAAATTCCCCTATTAGTTCTTTATAACGTTTTGTTTCATTAAAAAAATTGCACCTTGCATTTTTGTCAAATCTTTTGTGTGTATAATGTATAGTACTAGTCCAAAAATATATCCAAAATTCAGAAAGATTGAACCAATGACTCTTACAAATTTAGCCAATACACATCCATACCCCTATGGACAAGTCAAGAGATGTTCCGAAAACTGTAAATATCACCTTTTTGCACCTGGCCTAATCACTCTTTCCATATCAAAATCAGTTAAAATACAACATCCAAAAGATTATTTCACCTCTCTTCTTTTATTTCCACCCAAAAAAAACTAAGAAATGAGTGAGGAAGGGAAAGAAAAAAAATTAAGAAAAAATACACTCTAATTAAAAGGAACTATATTCGTGGACAACGAAAAGCGGGATAATTAATTGTGGTCTTGGGCCTATTAGGGGTCTTAAACTTGACCAATTCTAATAAAACTTGGCATGATTTAAGCTTAGTGTATTATAAAACAGTTTACAAAGTTTCAAAGCCATATGATACCAATTATAAAAAATGTGGCATTTTTTATATCTGAACTTTGGGTGCTGAATTGTGGCGTTGAATTAGAGCAATTTCAACTATCAAATTTGGGCTTCTAAAAACCAAAATATACCAAAACTTACATTTTTTAATGTTTCTATGTATAAGTTATCACCTATTAAAAGCAACAGATAGCATACTTCATGTTTCAGACTTATAAAAAATGGCCAGAAGTAAATTTTATATGAGCCTGTGCCAAAAAATAGAGGTTTTCAAATGAATCGAGGCCTTATATGAAATGTAATATTTTTCACTTACCACAATTTTCTGAAGTTGTTAAGTTATAAAAACACCTTTTACATGTTATAAATGTACTTTTAATGGAAATATAAGTTTCAAATAGCATAACACATGTGAATAAAATGGTCTTCAGCAATGTCAAGCTTAAAAAAACAGGTTGTCAATTTAGGTCGTTCCCCACATTTGCATATTAAAAAGCATATAAATGATATGGTAGATAGAGATATGCTTCTTTTTGCTCAAATCTTTGTTTAGATTTGATAAAACATGGAGCCTGGATGTAACATGACTGTCACTTTCAACTATATATGTAGACAGTATGATTTGATGCAAAGTTATTTACTTTACTTTTTAAAACCGGCATGAAATTTCAGCCTCAAAAGGCCAATATTTTAACCACTAGCTATCAAACAAAAGAAAATAAAGGTAGTCTGTGAAACAGACAAGGTCAAACAACCAGTAATAAGTGCTTTTGATACAGATTCAGTGAAATCTGCTAAAAGGAATTCAACTTGTATGTGCATAGAACCTCATTTTTCACTTGCTTCATACTGACCGTTAGACTAAGACCATTAAAGCAGCACATTTTGCACTCTTATTCTGATTTTATCTACTTTTTTTTGTGTTCAGTGTTCAAAAATGAGTTAAACATCTACATTAGATACCACACACACAAATAGAAAACCAGAAAAATCTGTCAGAGAGAAAGTAAGCATGCTACTTTTGTAAAAATATTGAAACAACTGAAAAAGTTCAATTTTGGGCATGTAGGCTGAAATGTCACTTTTTTACAAAATTTCTATCAAATAAAAGTGGAAATCATTTATTCTCATGTAGTTTGACAAATTAATACCAATAGATCATTCAGGGAAGTTGTCAAAGTACAAATTCAATATTTCCTGAATTCACCTCTTAGGCCACAGACCACAATTAAATTCCCCTATTAGTTCTTTATAACGTTTTGTTTCATTAAAAAAATTGCACCTTGCATTTTTGTCAAATCTTTTGTGTGTATAATGTATAGTACTAGTCCAAAAATATATCCAAAATTCAGAAAGATTGAACCAATGACTCTTACAAATTTAGCCAATACACATCCATACCCCTATGGACAAGTCAAGAGATGTTCCGAAAACTGTAAATATCACCTTTTTGCACCTGGCCTAATCACTCTTTCCATATCAAAATCAGTTAAAATACAACATCCAAAAGATTATTTCACCTCTCTTCTTTTATTTCCACCCAAAAAAAACTAAGAAATGAGTGAGGAAGGGAAAGAAAAAAAATTAAGAAAAAATACACTCTAATTAAAAGGAACTATATTCGTGGACAACGAAAAGCGGGATAATTAATTGTGGTCTTGGGCCATGTGATTGTCCGGTAAATCTGCCCATCCGCAGTAAATGTGTATGTAGGGCTAGTTTATCACTTAATTATGAACATGATGAAAGGAAAATGATAATTTTTAATTGACCACGTATAAAGGGATTCCAGACAATCGTAAAAAAAAAAATTCAAGTCAGAAATGAGTTTTGTAAGCAATAATATGATTATCATTAGCTTTAGGAACTGTATTATAGATGTCACTCGATATTTTCGTAATAAAGGATTTTTCTTTAAAATTTGACATGCAGTGAGGATAAGTACAGTTCCTTTGAATAAAATTGCTGAAGAAATATTCACGGAAGTGACAATTACGGAAGTAATGGGAGTGGGTGGGTTTTCCGGACGAGCGGAATTACCAGACACTATACTGTACATTTAATTTGTATTTTATAATTTAAGTTGAAACAAATGTAACTTGAATCGAACGCCTGAATAAAATATTTATTTAAATTTATACTTGATTTAAGCACCCAACCATTCATCATGTGTGTTAGTCCAAATAATCATGACGTCTTAAAAGGCTATTTTATTGTTTTGCTTTGACGCCTTCCTCAAAGCAAAATAATAAAATAGCCTTTCAATACATCATAATTATTTGTACTACGTGTATGTATTGTAGAAGCAGAGACACATACATGTACATGTCTCTGGTAGACATGGTAGAAGGTATTAATGAAATATTATTAAAG